ACTCTGGAGGACAAATCCTATTGGCCCCAGTCAATATGGCAAGGTGGCTGATTTAAATATTTTGTGATGCTTTAACTACCTATGTTCTGTATAGGACTGTTTTAAGTTTTTAATTTGCTAACTGTTTTGGAGAAAGTTTGCTTGAAGAGATGGCATAGATCAGGGGTAGGCAATCTAAGGCCCGGGGGCCGGATGCAGCCCCCCCCAAGGCCTTTGGATTGGCCCCAGGCTGGTCCTGCCACTGCCGCCGCCCCCCACCACTGCTGCTGCCCATCATGATGATGTTGTTATTACTTGTTCTTGGGGTTTTCTTGGCAAAATCTCCACAGGGGTTTTGCCATGGCTTTTCTGGGGCTGAGAGAGAGTGCATGCATTTTTAAAAAAAATTTTAATTCTTTAAAACGTTTATTTATTTATTTATTTATTTATTTATTTTTGGTGCTTCGGCCCCCCAATTGTCTGAGGGACAGCAACCCGGCCCCCGTCTCAAAAAGGTTGCCTACCCCTGGCATAGATATATTTTAAATAAATAATAAAATAGACTGTCTCAGTGGTAACATGGTAGTCAAATACACAAATATTCTGCCTAAAGAGTGGGCCACTGTGGCCCTCCTGAATATTTTGGACTGCAGGTGTATTTCCTCATGATGGGCTGGGGCTAATGGGAGGGGTAGAACAAAAATAAATAAATCTGGAGGGTCCCAGGTTCTACTCTTGTCCTAAGGGAACTCCTTCAGCAAGTAATATGTCATGATTGCATTGTGCCTTGAACTCTGATTATGCTCAAATTAGTAATGGCCTTGTGTTAGCCTTGTGTGTGACCATTTTTTCCTCATTGTTACCAGTGAGAGTTCATCATGTTTCAGAGCCACCATGAGCGGTTCTGTTAACATTGATAATTTGTCTTAAATGGCTGCAACATTATTACATGATACTTAGTAGTTGTATTTTATTAAATGTGTTATTTGTTGTTAACTGCCATCAAGCTGACAACCCTATGAACGAAAGACGTCCAAGTCATCCTATCTACTGCTCTGCTCAGGTCTTGTAGTCTTGTAGTCATGGCTTCCTTGACTAGTCTATCCATCTGGAACACAGTCTTCATCTTTTTCTACTGTGTTCTACCTTAACCAAGCTATGGCCCAAAACACACAGTCCAAATGATGTTCAGATGACTTATACACCGAATGTGTCCAGAAGCCACACTGAGCCCACATCATCCGGAAAGAACTGGGCCAAGAAGGAGCAGATAGAATTTGCTTCTTCTGGCGTCCAAGTTCAGGACCACGCATAGCCTGGATCAGGACTGGGTGTGTGTGGCTGTTGCAGTGTGAATGGTGCTGGTGCAGCTTGCACCGGTCTATTCAGTCTGTCTGTTTCGGGCCATTGCTCTCTTTTCTAGTGAGTCCTGTCTTCCAATAAAAAGGTCAGAGTGTGACAATCTCACTTTACTTATCTTGGCTTCTAGGGAGAGCTCAGGCTTGTTTTGCTATAGGACTCTTTGTCTTTTTAGCAGTTCATGGCATCCATAGAATTCTAGTTTAGCAACACATGTCAGATGAGTTTATTTTCTCCCTATCAGTTTTCTTCATTGTCCAGCTTTCACAACCACATATGGAAACTGGAAATACAATAGCATGGACAATCCCAAGGACAATGCTAACTTTAGTATTCAGTGATATGTCCTTACACTGCAGGATCAGTGTTTTCATTGTTTCCTTTAAAGATATTTAAATCACCTGTGGTCATTATTTTAGTTTTCTTAATGTAAACTTGTTTTTGTGCATTCTTCTTTGACTGTCTTCAGTAATTGAGGCAGTTAGCTCTATAT